AATCGTGGGTATCAGATTAAAAAAAACAGTTTTGAGAAAAGCGGGTTTAAAGTTTCAAGTAAAAGTTTTTGCAGTCTAAGTCATAAAATTATATATTTAACTTACATTTATTCAATCTGCCATTCCTGCTGCATACATAAGATCTTCCTCGACTTCGAAAAAAAATATTTTCTGTTCGAGCAGTTCTGGCCTCCTTTGATGCGTTTTAGGCTCGTATCTCGGAGCGGTCAATCCAAGTGTGGTCTCGTCTGATAGCAAATGCATGTGCTTCTAAACCAATTTTCACTCCCATAATCGTCATTATCTTCAGTGTTGGTATAAATCCTTCATTAAAAATACACACAGCAGCAAATGTTGCAAGTTCAATGATCTGAGACCCGAAATGGATATGCTTTTGAGCGAAAGTCCAGATCAGGGAGTTTAGAGACTCATAAATATTTTGAGTTTCTTAACCCAAACATCGGATTAATAACTCTTCTGATGATAAATTTCGAAAGATTTGTCAACGAATGGACATGATGGAATGTAGCGTAGACTATTGCAACTGCATTGTAATGCACTTTTGAACCCGAGTCCGCGTTGAGCCGTTCTTAAAAATATAATCTCGTTGTTGTATGTAGTACACGAAACAAACAAAGAAATTGATGAAAAGACCGTGAAAAACTCCAAAACATAGTAGCCGTAATTATTATCTATAATTACTTCATCATTTGATTTCCTCAATTTTGCTGCTGATGAACTCGTAAAACTGGTGTTTTCCTGTTCTGTAAATCAATTGCCGTGAAATATATATACACAAATATATGTAAAAATATAGATAGATAGATATAACGGAACAAAATGGCTTACTAAGAAATATAGATTCAGATAGTCGGAGAACTCATTATATCTTTTGTTCGATTAGTTGCAGCCCAACCGATTTGGATGCCTGCTCAACAAAATACTTATTTCTCGGAAAATAATTTGAACTTTTGAAAATCCTCTCGTAGAAATATTCTTAAATAGTTAAACTATGAAAATATGCAAAAAAATTTTCGAAATTTTTTTCTAGACCAGAATATTCCCTTAAAGGTTTCATTTTACTTTTCAATCAGAGTGGTGTTCAATAATTCTGGGAATCGAAGAACTTGAAGGAATTCATCTTCAGATTCCACTTTACCCACCTGTCTTTTTAGTATCCTCCTTGAGCTGTTTTTAATCAGCCATTTATGATCATTGATAGTTATAGCGAATGACAGGCTTTATGATAGTTATCATTAGTCCTTTAGATGACTTCGGGATTCATCACAAATTGGAGGAGGAATATCAGGGTCTCAAAAGACAAGAGGGGAACAGAAGAGAGTGATTTGCAGATGTAAAAGAGATAGACACAAATGTAGAGAAGAAGGTAAGGCAAGTACCGTGGAAGTAGTCAAATATGACCTTCATTCTGGTCGTGGTAGTTTGAGGCCAACTGCCGATTGTTTTTGTATAATTATGCGTTGTCTAGGGTGTACCACGTAGGTGTAAGTCTATCGTACACCCCTCATCATTGATATGGAAATAATTGTTTACAGTGAATGAAGCTTCCATACTATGCTGGTCAATATCATCTTTTTTCATGCTGCAATAGTTAGCCCACTTTTTCAATCCTGTTACAAATTTTATATGATAACTTCAAAGCCATCACTTTAACTAAAGTCGTTTGATAATTTCCTTTAATTTCGTTTGCATAACTATTTAATTCAGAACAGACGCTTCAACGCTCTGTCTTTGTCTATACAGGAGATCCCCTTCATGATGTATCGAGGTCCACCGGGAGAAAAGAAATCCACTAACCCCAAAGATTGGCATGGTTTCTGCATTGATCTCCTTGATTTATGCTCCAAAAAACTGCAATTCAATTACACCGTTCACCCCGTATCTGACGGTAACTATGGCACAGGCAAAATTATCAACGGAGTGGAAGTTTGGGACGGTATTATCGGTGAACTCCAATTTCGGGTAAGAAATGATAATAACAACAATAATTGTGCTTAGTTGACAGCCTTCTAAATTTTCAACTCTTGGTCCTTGTTTATAACGACCATCAAATCAGTGGTTGTGGAGACCAGCCACTATGTCTACGCTTTTGTCCATAGACAAACCTAAAGGTAGATATTCACCTGAGATCATAGTACTTTAATCACAATTGTTAAATGCTCCTTATTGGGAACTGCAAAGAAAGAAATATGACGATCTATTGAAAAGACACGTCTGTACCGGAACTCTGTATTTTATCAACTGACAAAACGAAAATCATGGATAAGACGGATGTCAAAATGGGGGATAGTGGATCAAATTCGGCCTTTGAACGATTTAGTTTGAGCACAATTTTCTTCATTGACAAAGTTTTAATGTACTAAAGCATGAATTCCTTTCATTATTTCCTGTAAAGTGATGATAGTAGACTTGAATTCAGCAGATCTTAAGCACTCAATAAATAATGTCTTTTTACTCTTGAATATAATAAATAAATCAAGCAGAGGAATACCAGTCAAATGGTTTTTAAAATAATAGCACTTACATGCATTTCGAAGGAATTTTATTCCAGATATTCCAGATATTCAAATGGAATATGGAGATGACTTTCTGAGAATTCCTTTAGACAACACATTTAGAATTTTTTTTTTATGAATCGACGGAAAACTCACCATAACTAGGCGAGTTTCTTTCTTGTGGAAGATTTATATTTTTATTTATTTCGAATGGCAGGCATTTTGATAGTCATCATTAGCCCTTAGCTGACTTCGAACTTCACAGACGGGAGAAGCATCAAAGTTTGAAAAATTCAAGAGGGTGGACCGAAGAGTGATTTGCAGATGTAAAAGAGGCAGACACAATGGTAGGGAGTAGAGTTAGGTGAGTACTGTAGAAGTGGTCGACTATGACACACAGTGAGGTCATGGTAATTTGAAGTCAGAAGTCAACTGCCGATTGATAGACCTTTTTGCCGTATGAGTATACGTTGCCCAGGGTACACCACGTGGAGGTAAGTCTATCGCGCACCCCTTCTTGTGGAAGATAAACTTATAAGAACTTGTTCGAATTAGCAATAGGAATTTCTTCCAGATCCAGAAAAATAAGAAAGTGGACGCAATTTAAGTTTTCAGTTAAATTGAAAGGAGGATGGTCATTAGTGAATTGCCCTAGCCACACGACAAAATCCCCAATTCCAATAGGGAGCCTGGTGGATGACTTGCGCACCATCAGCAGCTTGAGAAGGTTTCATAAGCTCCAGAGTCAACCTCTGATTAGAATGAAACACATAACCCGTGAGTAGCCAGCCAATAAGCTGTTGCGTCCTTCAGAATAAAAAATCAAATTTATTTAGCCTATAGTTAGTTAGTATAATTTAACACACGTCTTAATTTCATCGAAAAAACTATTTTTGTTAATTGAATAGCAATGCAAATGTTGCTGTAATAGCTATTCAGTGGTGACAATCACTTATTTTAAGTTAAATTTCGCATTATCTGAGTTGATTACTTCCTACTTATCTGTCTCTTGGGAATGTAGAGGATTTAATGAATTTGGGCAACAAATCGTTCCAAGCTTTGATGACGATCAAATCTCCATTTCAGTAATTTGCCAAAGGGATTTGACAATATCACCCAAATTGAACATTTGTTTAAAGCGATATTATCTCCCCCTATTGACATCAAATCATCATAAAATTATGTACACCATTAAAACAAATAGTGGTGGGCTAAAGTGAAAGCAAATGCGACTGGTTGGAATCGCAGTGTTTTGTAAATGTATCTCAGGATAAACAATTCCCGACTCTAAAAGAGTTTTCCAGGTGTCTAGTAGTCTCATTAATTAATTTATTTATATCAAATGGCAGGCATTGTGACAATTATCATTAGCCCTTTAGCTGACTTCGGGCTTCACAGAGAGGAGGAGAAACATTAAAGTGAGAAAAATGCTAGAGGGGGAGCAGAAGAGAGATTCAGAGATATGAGAGAGACAGATAGACACAAAGGTAGAGAAAAAAAGAGAGGTGAGTTCTGTGGAAGTTGTAGAATATGACATGCAGTGGGGCGATGGTAGTTTGAGGTCAGAAGTCAATTGCCGGTTTATAGGCCTTTTAGCCGTATGAGTACGACGTTGCCCAGGGCGCACCACGTGGAGAGGTAAGTCTATCGCACGCCCGTAGTCTCATTAATGTTTGTGCTCATTCTTCTCTTATCAGTTCAATTATTAAAGAACCAGGGAGTTGCATTGACCTTCAGTCATTAAATATTTGAAGTCTCCATTAAAGTTTTTTAGAGATAAAGATATTTAACTTTATTCTTGCTTATTGAATTTGGATCCGAGTCAATTCTGCACTTATAGTCACATTACAACTTTTTATATTAGGGAATTACTAAGGTGGAAGTTTATTGATCAAACAGAGGACAACAATGATGTTTTGAATTTCTTTTTACTCTTTCATTGCAGAGAGCTGACCTTGCTGTAGCTATGCTGACTATCAATCACGAAAGAGAACGCATAATTGACTTTACAACACCATTCATGAATCTAGGAGTGAGCATAATCTTCAAGAAACCTGAGCAGAAAAAGCCATACCTATTCCAGTTCCTTCGACCACTTTCTCCTGCAGTAAGTTGAGGCTAATTAATCAATTAATTTGCTTATTAAAGATGTGGCATTCAAATAATTAGGAATCCATATTGGTCAAAAGCTTGGAGTTGAGATTATAACTGCGCATGGGATAAATTAAACTTTAGAAGGGTGACTACTTTCAACTCATGTTAACGCAATTTCGGTTAACCATGCCACGTCCTCGAGACATCAAAGTAGTATCCAAGTTTGAAATGACTTGACTCTAATAGGCGTTCTTAATATTCTATTAAGAAACTTTTGTTTGAACTTGTAGTAATCATGTATCTAAGTGGATTTTAATGAGCGCCTTAATTGATTTAAGTAGCGTAACTGATCAAATTTTATGAAGATTATGATCAACGCCTGGATATATAAATGGTTTCATTCAACAGAAAACTGTTTAACCACGGAGTAATTCCATATAGACTGATTACATATTGAAGAGATCTTTAAGGTTATGTCATTATTCTTAGGAATGATATTCACACGGGAAGAACAGGTGACACTTTTGACAGCTGCAAAACACGTGGAGATAAAAGAGATAGCTTAAAATTTTAAAGAAAGAAATAATACAAATTCGCATTTTGAAAGAGAGAGAGGCAATAAGAAGAGCCTTTAGAATCATTAAATTACTTGTTCTGCTAATTTTTAAATAAATAGTACCTAATTTTGAACCTATGGCATGCAATTTCCTTGCGAACAGAACGATTAATCAATATTTCATGGAGACAGTTTCAATTTAATTAAGACGCGGAATGTGTAAATTATATTTTCATTGAAGTTCTCAAAATATTTATTTATATCAAATGGCAGGCGTCTTGATGGT